ATCATATTAACACACATTTCTCCTATGCAAGGGCTATAAGCAAGGTTGGTTTTTTTTTTTTTTTTTTTTTTTTTTTTTTTGCCTATGAATCCTCAGGCCTGGGAATTCAACCCATCTGGATGCATCTAGAGGGGAGAGGCAGCAAGGTGCTTTTCTGTAATTAGTATTTCACCCAATACCTAAGTAGAACTCTCATTTCAGCTTGAATTAAGAATTGATTAGAAAGTGAAGTGTCAACTTGAGTAGATTAAGCATCATTGAAGCTGCAGAAAGAGAAGCTGCCAAGAGCATTTTCATCGCACGTGTATGTTAGGAAGAGCGGCCCCTTTAAAGAAATCGCCTGGTGCAGACAACCAGAGAAATCTGTGAGAAATTACCTGGTAAGAAGGGTATTTAGACAGGTGGCCTCAAATGTATCTGAACAAAAGAATCTTTGTTCTGAAGCACACTGCTAAAACTGGAATAATGTAAATTGCAGTTAATTCCTTTCTAAGTATTCTTTGTGTTCATTTTCTCGTGGAGGGAAGGGAGGAGGGAGGGATGTAAGTAAGCAGAAAGTACATGGGCCCCCTGGCCAGATGAGTGACAGAAGTCAAGAAGGAACTGTGTCACGGATCAGGGTCAGCCCTAGTCTTAATTCTAGAGAGAAATGCAACCCCATCCTCCTTTTCTGACAGAACACTCTCCTCCAGATGGCTTTTTAAACCAACAGCACCAATTTAGAGCTCTCGGGGCATGACTCTTTTTAATCAAATCATTTCTCACACGTCATGGTTCTCCTGCAGATTAGGCAGGAGCTAAAGCTAACGTAGAATTATCCAGTGGGGGGAACTGTTGTGTCTTAAAGCAGCTCGAGGCTCAGGGAGGTAGCAGGTTCTACTCTAAGGGCAGCTTTGCACAGCTTTGTTCTTGGTGGTTCTAGGAGAGGCAAGCAGCTAATAAAGCTCCTTGACAGCTTGTACATCTGTCATTCCCAGCTGTCCATCCTTACAAGTCCTCTGCAAGCTCAGCTGCATGCCTTCTGCATTGTGCTGACGACACCCCCAGCTTCTGAAGGTCAGGGGGATCAGGTGTGGAGGGAGCTAGCAGGAAAAGCATTGAGGTGTGTAGTGTCCCATCACTCCTAACCTTGCAAAGGAGGACAGTGGGGATTTGCAGAGGTTTAGATAGATGATGGATCATGATAGTGTATGCCCAGAAGATTCAACTTTTAAAACTGTGATGGGCTGCTGCCTGCTGGCTTGGAGCAATCCTGGAGGCATCTGTTAGCGAGCTAAAGGTTACTAGGGGCCTTAGCTTGTACCACTTGAGTCAAATTTGTTCCTAGGCCAACAGAAAAGAAATATGAAAGAGGGAATTCCTTTATTAAAGGCATGATGGAAATGAGTGCCCTCTAATTTGGGACGAGGTAGGCTGTAAGACTCTCCTGGGATCTGGGAAGCATTGCAGCCAGAGTGCATGGGGACTGCAAACTGACTCACAAGCCTACAGTAGACGGGGCTGAGGGCAGGGTTGACTCAAAGCCCCTGGAAGCCACACGGGACAGGTGCATCTGGTACTGCTCAGGCACCTTCCCTGTAGCAGACCCTTGGAGGCCTTTAATAGTCAGGAAGTGGACATTTCAGAGTGACCATAAACAGGCTGAGATTACAGACTGGGACATAAGCCTGTGGATATGGATCAGCTGATGGCTGAGCTAAAATGACAACCTAGGACCAGCTGCTGTGGTCACTCCATTCTTAATTACCCATCTACATGTACAAAGGAAATAGGCTGGAAATGAGCAGAGAAAGGGGTGATGAGGGCATCTCCTGACTAGAGAAACAGCTTTGGGTTATCCATTTCGACTTAGTTTTACACGGGGAAGAACTGTGTGGAAAAGTATCTGTAAAACAACAAAACCCACTTCTATTTGTGGGACAGAAACTTCAGCAGTGCTACACTTTGAGTGCATTAAATAAATATAAATTTTATTAAAAACACTCACATAGCATTATTAGGAATGATATAATAATAAACAGCTTTCAAATAGCCTGCATAACATTACAATACTTACAGTATTTATAACCGTCCTCAGGTTTTATAAACAAACCCAACATCTCATGAATGAAACTAAGTTAAAAAAATAAACCATAGAAAAATGCGCACCGAAGTTCATTATCTTAGTGTCAAACTGCAAAAGATTTTCCTAACAAGTTAAGCACTACCTTGTAAAGTGAACTATACATCACTGTGCGTCAATCAGGATGAAAAATTCATTCAAGTAATGTTGACACCATGCAGAAGCACTTTCAAGTATGGCTCTGTAGTCAACCTATTCCTATAGAAGCAAATCTCTGATCTGCTTTCCATTTGCTCTGAGAGAGGCTGGGTGTCATTTAATTGCCTCTCTTCCTACACAACTCATCCTCTCAAAAAAAAAAAAAAAAAAAAAAAAACCACACTTCCCTGCTCCTGTTCGCCAGCAGTTTGACAAATGACAGTGGGTGACATGTAAAGCAAACATTCCTTATGGATGGCTGGCTCAAGATTGCCAAACGCACCTGCAGGAACCTGATGTCATAGATTCAACATCATGGTATGGAAACCATTAAACTTGTGGTTTTGTGTGCAAAGCAGACATTCTGAAACTTCTAATGACAAAATGTGGCCAATAAATTACAAAGTTCTCCACTGATCACAAAGCTATTTCTTTGAAAAGCTAGTGAGCAACACTGTATTTAGGCCACAATGTAACAGAGTCCTATTTATTGCACAGCACACCACCAGGTTCCAGGACTGTTTGGAGACACTCATGGATATGAACCTGTAATCATTCCTAGATCAAAAACCTCTGTGGATTTGGCCAACAGCCCTGTACTGACCTTTTACCTCACTTACTTCACAAGTTTCCCTTTATCAGGTCAGTGCACTCTATTTTAAACTTTTTACTTTGTTAAAAAAACATCAAAACTTTCCAAACTTTAAAAATGCTTTTCTTTATAATTAAAAGCTGACAGGTTTACAAAATTAGTTTCAGTTATCATGTACAAGCAAAATGGGAGGGATTCAAGAAAAAAGACTTAAACCCCTGAAAAAAAAGAATATATTAACTGACAACTTTACATAAACACAGATGATATGTTGGCATAAGGAGAACGAGCTGAATATCCCTGAATTTTTAGAACAAAAAGTTTGAAATTCAAGTTATACTTGCTAAGAAATCAAGTATTGAAAACGGTATGCTTTAATAATAATAATAATAAAAAAAGACTTTTAAAAAATGGTGGTATACAATGCTATAAGCTTTCACTTAGTTCAATATCCCATTGCCAAACTAGTGTTGAGGTATATGACAAATAGGAACATCACTCAAACTTTTAATCAATTCTTAGCTCACATTGGCATCTTATTTGTAGCAGTCTGAGTAGCACCATCATGATGTGAATTTTGCTTCAATCTCATATATATATATAACATATATATATATACACACATATTGTATATATTTAATATTTTTACAGTACTAAAATACTAAAGCATTGCATTAAAAAAGTTTTGTTTTACAATTTAATTTACTATACAACTCTTTCATCTTTTTATACAAATTTATGATTTAAAATCACCACAGCAAACCAGCTGCCTGTTATTTAGGGTTTTTGTTTTGTTTTGTAACTGACAGATTACGGAACCCTGTCTGCTCATCTTGTGCAGGCATCAGTCCACTCTAGCTTCCTGGTTAGGAGGGGACTTAAGCAAAGCAATGGCATTGCAATGCGTGAGTAACCCAAAGGCAGCCTGCTGTCCTGGACATACAGATGCACGGCAGTGTGGACTTAAATGGACAACTTGGCTGGGTCTGTGGCATGCCGTTAGTTATTGCCTGCAGTTAAGGGAGAATCCAGCTGTACACACAGAAGCAATGAGCTTGTCATCCCGTTGTTTATAGTATAGCACGGAAGATAAGCACCAGGGAGCATGTATTTTGTAGACCAACACATCCATTCACCTTCGGTTTGGATTTCACAGGCCGTGTCAACAATGAATACTGCTCATGAGCAGATACATGGCTAAAAGCAAATGTTTTAAAAGCTTTCCTTTTTTTTAAAAAAAATAAACCTTTAATCCTAAATGAAAGTAAACTTTTTTTTTTTTTTTTTTTTTTTAAACATCTCAGTACCTTAGCATTGTTCAAGTTGCCAAAGCTTAGGTAGGCAAAGTGCTTCTAAAACACCACTTAAAATATTTCAATATACATATATTTGCACATATAAAAATGTGTATATGTACACATAATGTTTATAGTCCTACAAGGACATCACTGGATGAGCACAGTCCAGAGGCCTTTAAAATGTCCACATTTTTAAAAACTAAGCTGTATAAGAATAAGTAATTAAGACAGAAATGTAAATGAAAGGCGCCCTAGCTCTTCAAGGGCACCCACTGCACTGGCCGCATGGGAAGAAGGCATTGACTTTTCAGCTATTAAAGACACCATTTTTGTAGCACCATTTCACGTCACACCCAAACAAATTCAGTGTTTTGCCATTATTCACTTAAACTTCTTGTAGCTACTTTGATAAATAAGTTAATATCGAGATTACAGTAAAAACTGCATGTTAAAGAGCCATAATTCCAGTATTCAGAACATTGGAGATCAGCACCAGATGATTCCAGCAACCGTACGACTACAGAACTGTGTCCCATGACTCTGCACACTTGGTATTAGAAGGGGTCACATGTATGGAGTGTCGAAAGAGGGAGCATCTCACACACATATGACATCAGCCAGTAAGAGAACCAGTGGTTTTGAAAATATAAACTGTGGAGCACTTTCTTTCTGCCTTCCCTTTGCATAGGATGCTTTGGTCTTTTTCCTGAATGCCATCAGTGACCGCTTGGGAAGTCAGTAGAGATTAAGTGCAATGGTAAAATTAATCCCTATTTTGCTGGTGAGCTGACACCCTCCCCCAAACACACACGCACCCAACCACACACCCACACCCACCCACTCCCACACACACCCACCCACACACAGCATTTGTCGTGGATGCTGTGACCTGTCCCAACTGCCCATGCCAAGAGAACTGTACTACTGACAGGATGTTCTTAGTGGCCTGGCATAAAGGACAGCATCATACATATCTGTTGTAAGGCCCCGTGACCTGAGTGAAGGCATATGGAGATGTAGTCACCGTGGAGTCTGTGGTCAGGGACACTGTGTTCTCAGCAAGAGACTGGATGAAGCGCAGGTAACTGGGCTCAGAAAGTTCCTGCAGCTCTGTGGGCTCACGTTTTACCCTTTTGCCATGGCTTTTCTGAGACACATGGTCTGGTCCATACTTTTCATACTCTTCCTCTTTCTCTCGGGCCTTTTCAGCCATTTTGGCTTCCCAGAGAGCCAAGCCATGCTTTGGCTCATTCAAATTCTTATGCTGGTAAAATACAAGTGAGATCCTGGTGGGATTAGCCCGGTCGGGATTATTTATTCGGGTTGTGGCATGAAGCTCTCGCTTTGCACACTCAATGAGAATGGATCCGTGAGCTGGAGCCACAGCCACCCCTCCAATGTTAGGATCCAGAAAGCTCTGCTCACTGTCTGACCAAACCTCATCATTGTCCTCCACGGAAGAAGCTGCACCCTGGCCTGCTGCCCCAGGCTGCTTCTCCTGACTGCTCTCAGTCATATTGTGTAATAGACTTTGGGCAGGAGCAGTGCTATCATGATTAAGCCCAGGAAGCACCCTTGATAGCCCATTAGCTGCGCGGGAGAGCATGTCAGTCTCCTTGTTGTGGAAGGCTTGACTGGAGCTGGTCGTCAAGCCCGAAGCTGCAGGGGGGTAGCTGTGGATAGTGTGAGAAGGTGGATGATGCTCGCTGTTTCTGTAGTCTGTGTTTGGATTGCTCATGCTGTATGGTAATCTGGAGGCAGCTCCCATGAAATGGCCATCCATCTCGGGGGTGGGGTAAGGAGGAAATGTTGCTAGGCGATGTACATTCGGTTTTATGGTACAGTCGCTGAAGGCATCTCGATGCATGTTTTGGTTTCCGTAACTTAAGTACTTAGAGGGACTGTCTCCAAACCTCTGTTGGTAAAGTGTGTGGATGGGTGGTAGGTTCAGCTTGGGGAGATGGTTCTGGCTTGGATATCTATACAGATCCCTAGGCTGAGACTGGGGGGAGTAAGACCCTAAGAACGGAGAACAGTTGTCTACTGACACATTCCCATTGCACTGATATGCTGCATATTGGTTATTCTGATGGAAAAGCCCAGGGTAGGGGTTCATGGAGTCAGAAGAACTCAAATATGAGCCTGCAGCTTGAGATGAGGTGGGATAAAGGTTTGCATGGTTGGTATCTCCATACATATCTGCAGTGTGTGAAGAACTTGGATAAGGATTAAGCGGATTGGGCCGTCTCATGTATGGGTTGGTGGAGTAAGAGCCAACGGACTCAGACTGAGAGTTACTGGACAAGATATGCTGTGGCTGAGGTGGCCGCTGCACTTGCTGAAGTTGCCTCTGGAGTGGCTGTGGCTGCTGTATGACAGATCCTGAAGGCCGCAATTGTTCTAAAAAGAGAGCAGGGACAAATGCATTCATTGTTATTTTAAGAACTCTAGTGGATATACTTAAGTATATGTAACAGCATACTCAATCCCCCTAGCAAGGATAATGGGAAGCCAGGGCTCTGAACATAGGCAAGCATAATCTGTTGTGTTTTAAGTATTAGGATAAACACTGAACTTTTAATACTACATTTTGTAAGTAAGGAAAATGTAAATCCACCAGAGTCATTCAAAAGGCCTCTCTGACTATCTCCCTACCCTTCTTCAACTTAGCCCATGTCCTTCCTCATCTTCAATGCAAACATAGTTTGATAAAGCAGTACTGTACTGTTGAGTGCCTCCCTTACCTCTACTGTTCCTAGAGGAGGGGACCTGTTTTGTTTTACTTCTCAATTGTCTGGCATATGACAGAACTGGTTACATAAATAAAATGACAAGAATGTCATTCATCTTTACCTAAAAAGGATCTTATACAATTGGTCAGTGGACTAAATATTGTAATTATAGTTTTTGCTTAATAACTTAATAATTGCTATGTTAAAGTTAAAACCCTTCTTTTATTTAGACAGAAAAGAGATGATGGGGAATGTTCTGTATACGTCTTATTGGCTGATGAATAAAACACTGGTTGGCCAGGCAGGAAGTGATGTAGCATGGCAGATACTTCCATTAGCTAACCATAGAGGTCAGGAGGTCTGTACAGACAGGCAGGAAGTGACATCTGGGCAGAATCAGAATATAAGCAGGGACAAAGAGGAAATGGCTCTCTTCTCTGCAGAGATGTAGCAGGCAAAGGAGATGCAGGTCCGGCATTCCCAGTAAGCCAAGACTACATGGAAATACTTAGATTGATAGAAATGGGTTAATATTTAAGACAGAGCTAGCCAATAAGAAATGCTAGTAACTGGCCAACAGTTTCATAATTAATACAGAGTCTCTGCGTGTTATTTGGGGCTGACACGGCAGTGGGACCAGGCTGGCAGGAAAGTGCACGTAACACTACTTCATGAGAACATCTCCTAGGGAGGAAGTTTACACAGTTATAAAGAGCACCTTGTAGAAAGTTCTGGCTTGTAAGCTGTAAACTGTTAAAACAACCTGCAGATTCCGAGACACAAACAGTTTTCCACCACAGAAACCAGTAAGAAGGGGATTTTCATCTCTCCAAGCAAAGAGGACCATTTGTAAGCAAATCTGCGGTAAGCTAAATTTAAAGAACATTCTTGTCATTGAGGGTCAAGCCTATAAATATACTTTGTAAAAACTGGATTTCTTTTTAGTAGCTCTAATTGTAGGCATAAGGCAAGGGGCTCTGGGCCTATTCTCTATTATTATTACCATAGACAGAAACTCTTCTGGTGAGTGTGGGTCCTTAGCTAACCCGATCAAACTTGTCTATGAAAAAAATATATTCAGCTTACCCTCTACCCTGTAAAGTGTACTTTCAAACACATTTCACTATAGTACTATTTAATTATCTAGGCTTAATGACTTGGAGTCATCCTAAGATTTCTCTCTTTTCTTCTACTGTTTTGCATTCTGAGAGGCTTTACTTGCATAGTTTCTTACATATTTATTTAACTCAAAGTCTTGTGATCCCTATCGTGCTCAAATGCTCCCTTCTTCAACTTGGCGAACTGTCACTGCGTGATTTACATAACTTTTGACACATAAACGACCAGTCTAAATGTTTTGTTATTTGTTACATATAGAACAACCCCGATGTCTCTACTCTGAGATAGATGGTTCACCTACTCTCTGACAACTCCAGTACAGCCTGAACCAGGCTACTTGGGGGAATATTGTGGTAAAGACTCAGACCACGATGTTAACACCCCCCCCCCAGGATTCACCCAGCACATAAGGCCACAAATGTCACACGGAGTTCACCTGGCAGCTGTTTCATTTGGCTTGTAGTTTCCATCTGCTTTGTTCGTGAGGAAGACTTCTCCTTTTCATTCTTATTTGAGCAGTTCTCCAGGGAAGAAAGCTTTTCAGCTGCAGCTCTCTTGGCTTCCAGTTTTCTTTGTCGGCAACTCTTGACCGGCTCCGCTAACATCCTCACTTTCCTCCGAAAAGAGTTCAGGACCTGAATGGACCCCTTTCGTATCTTTTCCTCCTGACCTTCAGTGCTCCCAAACTCATCCACAGGAGAGATTTTGTACATTGGTAATACATGCAACTGCTCATCCTTAGGTTCTCCTCCAATTTCTCGATTGTCTTCTCTAGTGAGGGTGCAGACCTGATGGAGGGGAAAGGTTCCAGGCTCAATGGCAGGTCAGGACAAAGTGTGGACATGCTAGGGTTTCTCCCTGCATAGATCAGGGACATGCGCACTATCAAAACCAGACCCGCCTGTTACTAATGAGGATAATGTACAAGTGGAGGACAGAGAGAAAACACAAGCTCCCCCTTTGTACTTTCCAAGTCAATCAGCAGTCACCGAGAAGTGACTGCCCTGCACTTTTAGCTAGAACCAGGGGAGGAAGACATACTTCTTCCAGATGAAATGATGTGATCTCCCGTTTCACACATATTAAACATGCATGGCAGATCATTTCTTTCAAGAAGCTACAGCCTGCTTCTAACCATGTGACCACCATGAGCAGTGGTGTGAGGAACGGTGATAGCTCAACACAGTTCTTCTTCCCTCAGACCCGACTCCTAACTGTCCACATTTAAAAAATTTCCTATGTTCAAGAAACCTTACAGCTGGGCAGTTGTGGTGATGTTTTGTTTATGATCTAACAAATAAAGCTTGCCTGAAGTTCAGAGTGCAAATTTAAGTGCACTAGTCAGCCATACAGGCCAGGCGGTGGTGACTCACACCTTTAATCCCAGCACTAGAGAGGAATAGAAGGCTAGATGAGACAGGAACTCTCTCTTCAGTCTGAAGATTTTGTAGAGGTGAGAACTCTCTAGTGGTTGGCTGCTTTGCTTTTCTGATCTTCAGCTTGAACCACAATATCTGTCTTTGGGTTTTTATTGTTTGTGCTATAGGCACTAATGGCACATGACTTTAATCCCTGAACAAAGAAGGCAAGTGATCTCTATGAATTTGAGGCCAGCCTAATCTGTAGAGCAAATTCTAATACTGGCAAGTCTACACTTGAACTCAACCCCCATGCAAAAAAAAAAAAAAAAAAAAAAAAAAAAAAAAAGAAAGAAAGAAAAGAAAAAGAAAAAGGAAGGAAGATGAAAAAATTTACAAGATGCCAAATAAAATAAAATGAAATAAAAATGAAAAATGATCTGGTCATGGATATAATTCATGCATAGTTGCACATATCCTCTTTTGCTTTAATACTTTAAATGTAATTTTCTTTTGCTAAATGATAAATGAAGAAAAGAAGACCTAAAAGACAAGTAGACATAAAAATGAGTAGGAGATACCCTCTAAAAGGAATGTGATCTTTCCAGATGACTAAGGAATTATGAAGCATGTTTCCCAAACTCATGTCTCTGCATACATTTCTCACGCATATTTATCACTACTCAATTCTCATCTAGAGTGCCTTTCCACCTTGCCCTGTTCACAGGTGGGCTGACTCAGTTCCCACTGCAATCATCTCACTAGAATGAAAACTTGGCTACATGACTGAGCTATTGTTTCTTCCAAATGTCAGAATATAGCGGCCACCAATGGCTGACCAGGGTGATGAGCAGATTGTTTTCCTGGATCTAAGTGTGTTTATGACCGAGGACATATTAATCCAGTGTCCACTGTAATATGTAGGCACGATGAGCTCCTTTGGACTCCTTGTACCTGTGCCGTGAGCATGACACTGGGTGTCAATTACTTCCCACCTTAGTTTTGGGGTAGCAGAGTATCTATCTCTCTCACTAAGCCTGAAGTACACTGATCTGCCCGGTTGGCTGGATAGCAAGCCTTAGAGATCCTGCTGTCTCTGCTTCCCCTATGCTGGGATTAAAGATGCCTGCTTTTTCCCATTGGTGCAGGGGATCTGATTCAGTTCTTCAGGCTTGAAGGCAAGTACTTTTCTGGCTGAAGAGCTTCTACAGCTATCACTGTGGCAGTGATAACACACTTTTCATTTGTATTTCAGTAGTGCACCCATGTGTGTGTTTTCTTTTCCCAGTTGTTTCGTTATAATTCACTACATACCTAAAGTCGAAATTTGATTTTTTTAAAAAAAGATTTCTAACTGTATGTACGGATGTTTTGTTTTTATGGACATGAGTTAGCATGACTACAAAAGCCAGAAGAATGTACCAAATCCCTCGACCTAGAATTACAGGTGGTTCTGAGCCATGGGTGCGGGGATTGGAACTTAGGTCCCCCACAAGAGTAGCAAACACTTTAAACCACTAGCCTGTCTCTCCAGCCCCAGTTTTAGTTTTCTTGATAAGTCCCTGGAAATAACAATGTGTAAACCTGATTTAGATTAATTAGTGCTAGGATGTCCAAACTCTCTTGAGGTTGCCAACATTTCTACTAACGCGCCGCTCTGTTAATGAGCATGCTAGTAGTGACCAAGAGGGTTACTTTGGAACACAATTTACATCTGTCCTGAGCCGGCCCCACACAGCCCATGCTTTTCACCTGCAGATGCTGCTAGGATCATGGGTGTCACTTACCAATGTGCTGCCATTTGGCATGTTGTGCAGGTCTCTGTGGGCGTGAGCACAGAAGTCCATACATGCAGTGACCCCTGAGAATGGTCGGCCTTCCTTCAGACCCAAACGGCACTCTGGAGCTCTATGTTCATATTCAATCTGGAAAAAATTATGTGCGAGTGGGAAGGTAATTCAGAACAGTTTTTACTTTTGCCCTAGAAACTAATACCTAGGCATTATATCTAGGAAATGATGGAATGACGACAAAAAAATAGAGTATACACTAGAACACGGAAAAGTTTCACGTGACAAGATTACTGAGGAAGACATCCATGGGCATGTGTGATGCCAGGGACCAAACTCAAGGCTTCACATGTTGAAGTAAGCACTCTACCACGGGCTTACCCTGCCAGGTCCCAGATTTCCCCCTTCCCCCTCCTTCCTGCTCTTCGAACTTCAAGGCCTGTTTCCCACCAATTCTCAGTGAAATATATACACACATGCACACAATAATAGTTATCGTAGCATATATTCCTAACTGTAACCTTCCTGCCCATGAGCGGATGCAAAGTGGCATTTAGGGATCTATGTATACCCACGTAAACACTGCTATAAACAAAGCCAGGCCCACACTCTTCATTCCCTGAAGTTTCTGCCAGTCTCTGGGGTTTTCCCACCTGCTTTGGTCAGACCCACCATACAGACAAATGGGGATTGTATCACGTTTAAAGTCTTCTATATAATCAAGGAAGCAACCCATGTAAAAAAGAAAATGTACGAGATGGAAGAAAATCTGTATAGATGAAACTTATAAATATAGATACTATCCAAAATGTCTAAGTTTTTTCAAAAATAAAAAGCCAGTCACTTCATACTTCCTTACCTGCAGCACAGAGTTGGAGCATGAATGGTCCCTACAGGCTGATGTCAGGAACAGTTTTCCTTCTATGTATATCTCTCCCTAGTATTTATTATGACAGTTGCTTTTTGTGTTTTATTTCTAAACACATAAAATTTACCCTGATCTCTTTATGTCTCTGTGTGGTCATAAACAGGTCTCAATTTGAGTTCATTGAACTGATTTTGTTGTGGGAATCAATCTGGAGCAATTTCTGACATCATCACCTAGCAAACTGGGGGGTCTAGTACTTGTATAATAAGCAAATGCACCATGTTTTTGCATTTGACTTTTTTTTTTCTCTCTCTCTTAGAGACAAGACTTTCTAGGTAGCTTTGGAGCCTGTTCTAGGACTTGCTCTATAAATCATGCTGGCCTCGAACTCAAAGAGATCTTCTGCCACTGCTTTACGAGTGCTGGGATTAAAGAATCATCACTATCTGGCTGTATTTGGCTTTCCTCATGGAGACAAAGTCTAACAAAAATCTGACATCTGAACCCATACATAATAAATGTAACACACAGTTTATAGATATAGAGATAGATAATCCTGTGAAAGCAGACGGCATACTCAAGGCCATATGAATTAAATACATTCAACAGAATCTTTACCTGAAGATAAATTAGTAGATAAAACATCGGTTAAGACTAATACTTTGTTTTTAAATCTGAAAGGACAAAAAGAATGCCTTTTTGATGGAAAAATTCATACACTAGAAACAGCTCTTCAAGTAGTTTTAACAGTTAAGAGGAAAGGTGGGCTGCAGAGGCAGCTCAGCAGAGAAGAGCACTCACTGTTGTAGAGACCCTGTACCCACATTGTGGTTTACAACTGTCTGTCTATAACTCCAGTTCCAGGGGATGCAATATATAGCATGCATATATAGGGTAGCACTTGTAAACATGAAGAAAAGGAAAAATGAAACTTACAAAAGAAGGTTAAAAAGAAATCACTCCTTCAAAAATACTTGGGGACTCAATAGGCTACAAATAATGAACAAAGTCTGAATCACCAATAATCACTTAAACTTACCTGATTATTGTATGCATCGGGTGCAAACTTCTTGTATATTGGAGCAATTAAAGTAGACAGGTTTTGCAAATGAGATTCTAGTTTCTCTTCCTGTATTAAATAATTCAACAAATTTTCAATTAAACATGAATATGTAAACCTGTGTGTTTAGACACAAGTCAGTTGTATTATTTCCAAGTGTATAGTGTTTTCCTTTATATATAGTGACTAATATGAATGTGAGGCTATCTATCTGGTAGCCAGTTACTTGGGCTTTGGTAAGATGGACTGAATCTCTGCCCTATGCTTGTGGTGTGGTGGTAAGCCAGACAGTTCACAGGAACACATTTGTTTTCATTATTCAATTGTTCATTAAAGAAGATGAACACCTACATTTGTCTAAAAACTGAACAGTTTACTTGAAAGGGAAACTTTTTTATGTTCTCCATACCCCACGCTTATAAAGAAAAGGTTTTCAGATAGGCTTCCGAAGTGGCATAAATTCCCACTGACATACTCAGGAGACAGGGTTTCCCTGTGTAGCCCTGGCTGTCCTGGCACTCACTCTGTAGACCAGGCTGACCTCAAACTCACAGAGATGCGCCTGCCTCTGCGGTGCTGGGATTAAAGGCATGCGCCACCACTCCTGATCAACACATTCTCATTTTAAAATTACTACTGTTAAACACGATTTGGGAAGCTGGAGTGATAGCTCAGCAGTTCAGACACCGGGGCTCTTCTTGGACCCAAGCTTGGCTCCTCTCACTATATCTGGGCAGCTCACAGCCACCTATAACTCAGTCCCAGTTCATCACATGCCTTCTTCTAGACTCCATGGTACCTTCATGTATGTGGTGCGATACACACTCGGGAGCACAATATACATAATAATTATGCTGCCCACACAAATGCATGGCACACACATCAGGAAATGCAGACATCTCCTGTAAATATAGGTAAGTAGATGGCTGTGCCACATTCCTGCCTGAGAAAGGATCCTTTGAGAAAACTTAGATTATTTACCTTTAGTTAATATTATATCCTCCTTTTTAGAGGAATATATTGAATTTAATAACCATGCATGTATTTTAACTACACTTAACATTCAGCATAGTGTATGGAATGAAATAATACACATGGGCCAATAGATTGAGATTTTTAAATCATTTGGCAAACTTACACACAGATTCAAACGCTCTTATATCCTACAATCTAAAATTATGTTTTTCAAAGAATCTGTGTTTTAAGAGATAAAAAAAACTTGATGACTTCAATGAGAAATCAACGCTCATTTTATTTGAACAGAACATGTATACTAAAATTGACCCGTTTTAGTTACTCAAATACATCTATTACAGTAACTTAAATCTTGTGACTGACTAGAAATAGTATAAGCATGCCTTCCATAATTCAGACTTGGAGAGAATGACATCACAAATCCCAATTTAGTTTCCTTTAAAATAAGTCATCCTTGTTTTAAAAACAGTATTTACATACTATCTATAAACCCACAATATTTTTGTCCTTCCTTGTCAGCATGATTCACATTGTCACAGTAATTCCCAGTATATCAGACCTTCAAGCAGGACAACTTTTAGTATGCAAATAATTCTTATCTGTCCTAATATATTATGAACATGTATGTTCTTGTCTAATGAAAAATAGTAATGTTAAATGGAAGCTCATCATTATACATATCAACAGTGTAAATTTACATTGAGAAATCAGATATCATAAACATCAAGAGTCTATTGTCTGCTGAGTGGTGGTGGAGCATGCCTTTAATCCCACTGCACACGGGAGGCAAAGGCAGGCAGATCTCTGTGAGTTTGAGGCCAGCCTGGTTTACAGAGTGAGTTCTAAAACAGGCTCCAAAACTAGAAAGAAACTCTGTCTCAAGAAAAAAAAAAATCTATTGTCTAAGCTGGACATGGTGGTACACACCTTTAATGCCAGCACTTGGGAGGCAGGGATAAGCAGATCTCTGAGTTCCAGGCCATCCTGGTCTACAGAGTGAGGTCCAGGACAGCCAGGGCTACACAGGAAGACTTTTTGCCTATATGACAGCCTTTTCTTTACAGAGCCAACTCTTTAGCCAAGCTAGCCTAACCTAATTTAGTTTTCACATGGGTATTCTGTAAAGACCTATGTGCTGGCTAATTTTTGTCAACTTGACATAACCTAGAGTCATCCTGAAAGAGGCAACTTCAATGAAGAAAATGGGCCCCTATGGGCATTTCTTGATTGATAGGGGAGGACCCAGCTCAACGTGGGCAGTGCCCAGTTGGGCTGGTGGTCCAGGGTACTATAAAAGAAAGTGATCCAACCAAGCCATAGGGAGCAAGCAAACAACACTCATTCATGACCTCAGCAATAGTTCTATGCCTCCAGATTCCTGCTCTGATCTCCCTAGATGATGAGCCACAAGCTTTAAGGTGAAGTCACACTTTCCTCCCCAAGGTGATGTTAGTTATGGTATTTTTAATCCCAGTTGTAGAAAGCCTGGCTAAGACAGCTCACAGGAAGGAATGATCTATGCTGCTATACATAGTCATTTCAGACTTATAAAATAGTTTGTACTTATAGTTTAGCCAGAATTTGTAGGTTCATCTGAGATGAAATTCCTTCTGTTAATGACAGGTCATCCATGCCCATTAATTCTATATGAGAAATAGGTTATATATTAGGAAACAAACCAACCTCTTTTGGATCATCTCCAAGTAGCTTAAATTTCCTTGGTATCTTGCTTCTGGCATACTTACATCCATTATAGTACATGCTCCAAGAACAACCAAAAGAAAAGGAGGCACCACAGGTCTCTGGGTCCAAGCCCTGACAAGCACAGGTTCTCCTGAGATCAAAGGACACAATGCAAGATTACAGATACCACACTGTCTTCTCAAGGGCATCCCCTAGTGCCTCAGTCTGGCAAACTCCACCATCGTATCTTCTGAGCCATGGAGCCATTCTCATGTCTTAAAGAGATAAGGATTACTCTACCCTTTCAACCTTTAATTGTGTAATGGGTGTCAAAGATAACTGTTTCCATGTTTTGTTTGTTACAATGTTGGGTGCTTCAATGTTCTCACTTATTTTTGGTGTTCTAAACCTGTTTGATTATTATTTGTCATGCTCAATTAAAATGCACTTGGTCCATTACTTATAAATGTATTGTTATATACCCAGATTTTGATAAGGTGGAGGGACATTACCAAACTTATTCTACAATTTACCCTGACACCTAAAGTCAAAAAAGACACAACAACAACAACAAAACTATTGACCTAATTTCCCTGATGAACACAGATGGGCAAAGCTTGTACACCATACTGAACAACATATGAAGATATTCAGCTTGGCAGAGTTGGTTTCATCTCAACATTGCATTGGCTCAACACACAAATAAGTACAGACATTACATGATCTCAACAGACACGCAAAAATATTTTGAGAAAGTTCAACATTCCTGAATGGGAAGTGCTAAAGAAGCTAGGGATAGAAGACCTATGTCAAACACAATAAAGGGTACACAGTAAAGTCAGAGTCAACATATACTACACGGGGACTATTTCTTCTCAAACCAAAAATGAAGCAAGATCCTATATATCACTATTCTTATTTAATTCAATGCTCAGTCTTTTCAGGAAAGTACAGAATACAAAAAAAGAAATATGAAAAAAAATTCAATGGATTTTGCAAATAGCACATACAGATTTAGTTGCTAGTACCCACATTAGGTAGCTCACAATTGCCTATAACTCTAGCTCTAGGGGTATTTAACACCTCTGGCCTCTGTGAGTACTAGGACTCACATGAAAACACCCACACAGATAATTACAAAAAAAAAAAAATGTCAACAAAGAAATTTTCTCAACTCTTTTATATAGCAGTAATGAACTTGATAAGAAAGAAAAAAATCACAAGTTCAAATAATGTAAAGTACAAATGAATAAAATTAACCAAAGAGGTGAAAGATCTCTATATTAAAAAGCTCAAGACAATTAAGAAATTCGAGATCAGTATTGTAGAATGGCTATATTAATAAAAATGATCTAGAGTGAAAGCAATCACCAAATTTCCAATTACATTCTTCACACCCTTAAAAAAATTATTCCCAAATTGAGAGGGAAGCAAAAAGCCCCAAACAGCCAAAATAATCCTAAACAGAAAAAAACAACACCTGGCCTCAGACTATACTACAGAGCGATAGGAACAAACCATTACAGTATTCATACAAAACCAATTAGACCAATGGATAAGAACAGAGGACCCAGAAATAGAACTACAGCCATCTGACATTTTGATAAATGTAACAAGATTCAAATTTGAGAAGTCCTTTTGAAAAAAAAATGGTGCTGGGAAATAAGTATCCACGTGCTATAGAACAAAATTCACTTCAGTGTGGATTCCAGCTAGGAGAGGTGTAGCCCAATTAGACTGGGTCTGTGTACCCCAATTAACTCTATCTATAGAAAATCCCTCAGAATCATGCCCAGAGATGTCTCCAAGGTGATTCTAGATCCTGTCAAGTTGACGAACAATAAGCCACCACCTGAGGTAATCTTAATGACAGTGAGATTATATGGCTCAAGAAAGCTTTTGTGGGGAGAAAATCTTTACCAAGTAAATTGACAGGGATCAAATGTAGGCTATTTAAAGAACTGCAAAAACCACTACAGAGTAGAAAAAATGACTTCTATAGAACTTTTACAAGCCTTAAAATGATTTTATTTATAGTAAAGCCTAATTTTGCTTACTAAAGTGGTAAAGCCACATTGATCAGGAGTGCCAAATTATGGCATGAGAACTAAAATAAAAATCATGGTAACACTGAAGCCACGTGGGTGCAGACACCGAGATATTACCAGAAACTGCTGCTGAGTAATGACTTACGGTCTAAGTGCACAGAATATCCCTAAAATTCCGCACGAATCATTCCTTCTAGCAAACCATACTATGAAATAAAAGTGATCCCCACTTTATCAACAGACAAATTCGAACCCTGGTTGAAACGGAACTACACCCCTGGAGGGTAGGAAGGGTCTTAGCTCCACTTACTCTTCATTCAGGGCACAGCGGCGAATAGTGGGGGCACCGTATTTACTCAGGGTCTCTTTAAGATCTGAGTAGAGTTGGTCAGCCAGAGGCCGTGGGATCCCTTCCCATATCATGATGAGGATGACAATCACAGCAACATCACAGCTGTGGCCAGCTCGCTCTCGAACCAAACACAGGAGCTTCTCCTCAAGGTTGTCTCTCCGAATCACCTGTGTGAATCAATAGCCCACGCAAACAGCCCCGCCCCACCCCAGACAGAACAAAGGTCAGTTGGGTCCAATCCATATCCACTTGCATATACATGCATACTGTTGTGTCTGGATCAAAATGATCATCTAACCAACTATCACAAGAAGTCATGGTACAAAAGTATTCCTCAATGGCTAGCAGACCATGCCTGGTTCAGTGTGGGCAGTTAAATGCTGCTGCTGTAGCAAGAACCGCACAAAAGTTCTTAGATGAGGTTTCCATTAAGTGGCATTATAAATATTGATGTGGCGCTTAAAGGGTTAAGGACTGTTTCTTCACAATCTAAGGACTATGCTTTAGACCACTGGTTCTCAATCTTCCTAAGGCCATGGCCATGTTGTGATGACACCCACCCAATCACAACTGAAATTTTTCTACTGTTATGAATCATACTGTAAATATCTATGTTTCCCGACGGTCTTGGGTGGCCCCTGTGAAAGAGCTGTTTGACCATCCCTTCCCCAGGGCTCTTGACCTACAGGTTGAGAACTTCTGCTTCAGACCTCTACTACTAAATTACTTCAACTTAATGGTTTGTTCATGATTTTAGAACTACTCAACCTTAAGGATACAAGATGACACACAGGATATGTTCATCCCAACTGGCAATGCTCTGTGACTTGGCCAAGCCAATTCTTGAATCAACCAAAATGAGCAAGACAGAAGGGTAAGACGCACTGACAAGTCACACTTACCCATTTGGCAATAGGACATCCCTGAGAGCTTTTGCCTTCTTTACCAGTATAGGTGACTCTTTCAATCCTAAGAGCTTTACCCTTCTGTCCAAACCTTAAAGAAACACACACACACACACACTTAGTAGACTACTTCAAAAGGCAATCAAAAATATCTGGACATTTAAGTGTAGTTTTTTTTCTACAACCACATCCTAAGAAGTATAGGGTTTAATTTATTCTTTAAAAATTGGTGTAAGCCAAGTATAATGGTAAGTCTTAGGTCTTTCCTTCAGTATCCAAATATACCAAAAGTTATAATGAATTATTCTGTAATTATATATTGAGTGAAAAAATGCTGGAAAGGCTATCTTTATATACAAGGTACAAAATAAGTTAGTTTGCTAAATTCAGTTTTTGAAACCATATACTATTTTATTATCATCCTTTACTAAATTTATCTTACAACTTGGAGAATTGTAAGCTTTAAGAAATCTTGTGTTTCTAAAGAAATCTGGGAAAAAGTTAGTATCCAGCTATTTTGAAAAAGTCAGAACTCTAGAAATAGCTTGTATTTCCTGTACACCAAATGCTGTACGCTGTTAACAAAAGAAAGTGCCTAGAGAAATTCACTGCCTCTGCCAGGATGGGGGGGAGGGCTCCATGGTGGATTTCTCCATAATAAATTAGAAGTGCACAATCCACAAATAAAGCAAGGATGGTACTGTGTGCAATACCCATGCATGCATACACACACACACACATATATATGTGTGTGTATGCATGCAAATACATTTTTGTAACATGGTTGCTGCTTAAGAGCTCAGAGCTTTAGCTATAGGGAATAGCCTTCTGAGTCTTCCACATAAGGGAATTATGTGTAGATACCCTGGCCTGACAGTTTGGGAAAGTAAATGGAGTCTCTCAGTTAACCTTTCACACTTGCTTTCTCCTGTAAGAGAAAGAATTCATTTGCGAAGCTAAGAATTTAAATCAATAGTCCTGACTCCTACTGCTTCCCCCTTGTTTCTTTGACACATCACCAAGTAAGGCGAAATGGAGAGTGAGGCCCCTTTGCAGCAGGTTGGCTGGATGATTTTTGCTTGCGCCCAGGGTTTTCTAGCATCCATTTCCAAGTGGGCAGCCTATGCCAGCTAAGCAACTATTTGTCCTGTCAAATATTGTGACTATGCAGTGAATAGCAGTGTGTTGGGTTGGCAACCCTGGAATAGCTAAGCCTACTGATAATTACTTGATTTACAATTGTTTACTGCTCTGTGTGGGGGGATTGGAAAAACTGGGGTATACAAAGGATAAATGTTAATCTGCCCTGTGCCTTTGAGTTAATTACCTTTCTTCCATGATTGTTCTAATAGCTGCCACATTAGGACCAGCTCCTAGATGGGTATAAAAAGGGCCTTCATCTTTTTCATTAACTTGTTCTGTTGAGATAATAGAAGATTATTATTTTAGACCTCAATTATACTAAGTATTAAGGCTACATCCAAAGATTATCCCCCAGCTGCACATTAATGGCTCTAAGTAACTTTCATTCTTTTTTTTCCCTTTAAATTGGAGTACATTGGTGGCTTGGCCCTTTAGAAAAATGTGCCAAGTAATACATACACAATGGTCCCTGGTGAATTATCACTACATTTCAGATATAGCATAAGAAATTATTTAAAATCAAGTAATTGGAACCAAATAGAAATAAAGGAATTAAAGTATATATAATAAACTACAACAGTTTTCTAACCAGAAAAAAAAGAAAGAAAGAAAAATCCAACAAGAATCAGGCTTGTCATTTGAAAATTACAAAGTTTAAAGATGAATCTTGTCTATTCCGCTCCAGATTACTCAACAGGTGAAGTCCTTTTATTCTGTTCCCATTTGCCCTCAACATTTTACAAGAACTATTTTCATGGCACTTTGGAGCTATCTTGGGAGAGCATCCTAGAGAGTCCAGTAAAAGGACCAGCTGTAGAAGTAAAGGTTGGAAATTGGTTCTGTCTATATAACATTCGCTACACATTAGCTCCGTGAGGCAGCTTATTAGCCACACACAGGACAGAAGGACTTCAAGTGGATGGTGCAATACAGTGAGGACACGGGATGGGTGGAACACTAGACAGTAATGTACCCTGTTCGTCTAATGTCTTCATCTACACCTGTAAGGGCCAGGGCCAGTCACTACAGGTATCTCCAGCTGCACATCTACACCTGTAAGGGCCAGCCACTACAGGTATCTCCAGCTGCATGTCTACACCTGTGAGGGCCAGCCACTACAGGTATCTCCAGCTGCACATCTGTACATAACACAAACTTAACAGGTGGCATTTATTTTTTAAAAAAAAATACCATTTTTATAAAAAAAATAAAACAAACAAAAAGGAACACAAACCAACACAAAGCATTTCAGTGGGAAAGTACTCACTCTAAGTGTTCCTAAGGGAGCATCTGCAAGTTCTCATTGCTCCAGTACCAAGGGCTAACTTACAGTACTCAGAGCCTTGTAACTAAGTTAAGTACTCAGAACTTTGGGACTGCAATTTTCCAGCTCAAGATTAAAGATAGTAACTCCCTCAATTCCCAGAAATCTACTAATCTTTAACCACAGACATGGGTTTATGGCACTGTTTTGGTTTAAAAGCTACATGAGTTGGAGGAAGTAGTTATTTTTTTCATGTTAACAAGTTTTCCTGCCTATATGCCTTCTCTAAGAGATAAAAGTTAAAATAAATAGATCCAGGCTGGGCATGGTGATACATGCCTTTAGTCCTAGCACTTGGGAGGCAGAGGCAGGCCAGCCTGACCTACATAGTGAGTTACAAGATGAACAGGGCTGGGAGACCACGTCGTGAAAACCAAACCAAACCAAATTAAAGATCCAGGGCTGGAGAGATGGATCAAGCAGTTAGAATTCCCAGTACCCTTATGTTGGCTCACAACTGTAGTTCCATGTGATCCTATGCCTTCTTCTGGTGTGCAGACAGACAGACAGAATTTCAATTAATACAAACAAGTCATTAAAATGATATAAAATACATTTATACTTCAAGATCTTATTAGTGGGGGAAAATGAATATATTCAGTTGGTTTTGGGGGGGAGCAAATGCAAGTGAAGTTTTCATTTTGCATGGCACAAATGTCTGAAATTTAAAGATAAAAACATTTTTTTTATGAGCCTTTACAATTGGCTCCAGCTTTAAAAAGGAAGAAAAGAAGTCTTAACAGTTTTGTTTGTGAGCCTAGCCATTAAGGGCTGAGACATCTCGGTGATATCTGGCAACCACACAATTACTAGAACCATTCCTACCTGAGTGGCAACACCCTCTACCCAGAGCCAGAATGTCATCTGGGACTAAGCTACCACTAAGGGCCATGTATGGCTCTATGGTCCAGCCACAGCCAGGGTCTGCGTTATGTCTGTGGTCAGTGACATGTCAGGAGGCTTTGGAAGTCATTTAAGATGAAATCAGAGGGCTAGAATGAGCCTGTCCTGCCCTTTGCCGCCCTGGGAAAACTGCCCTTACATCTCACTGCCCACTACAGCAAGAGACTAGTTGGCCCATATACTTGGGATAGAGGACCTCCACCCCTCACCACTGGCAAGGGTGAACCTACCGTGAGGGCATGCATGTAGGGGAGCTGATTCCACCACACCTGAGGTGGGTGGCCCCAATGTCTTGATCTGACCTAACTGGCTCACAACTGGGCCTTGGGTTGACCCACCCCCCCCCCACCTTAGCATCTACCTCATCTGGGTCCTGTTGGAGCTTGTGAAGGGACTGGTTCTGTGGAATGATACTAGAAAGATCTCTAAGACACAGGATACCCCAGAAGAGCTCTGGTGAAGATCCAGTGAGGAAGGAGTACCAAAACCCAGAGGCTTTGAACCAGACCAATGACTCATTGCAATGGACAGTTGTTAGTCAGGCTGATGGGACAAAGGGACATACTATATGACACACCAAAGCCTCCAATGACATCAGGATGGAGGGGAGGTGATGGAAGGGAGGTGATGGAAGAGAGGTGATGGAAGGGAGGTGATGGAGAGTAGGTGATGGAAGGGAGGTGATTGAGGGGAGGTGATAGAGGGAAGGTGATGGAGGGGAGGTGATGAAGAAGAGATGGAGGGGAGGTTATGGAGAGGAGGTGATGGAAGAGAGGTGATGGAAGGGAGATGATTGAGGGGAGGTGATGGAGAGGAGGTGATAGAGGGAAGGTGATGGAGGAGAAGAGATGGAAGGGAGGTTATGGAGGAGAGGTGATGGAGGAAGGTGATGGAGGTAAGGTGATGGTGGAGAGGAGATGGAGAAGGTGATGGTGAAGAGGTGATGGAGGGGATGGGAGAGGAGAGGGGAGGTGATGGAGGAGATGATGAAGGAGAGGTGATGGAGGAGGTGATGGAGAGGAGGTGATAGGTGATGGAGGGAAGATGATGGAGGAGAGGTGGAGAGGCAGGAGGGAAGGGGATAAGAGATTTTGATGTTTCGGATGTGGTTCTTGTTCTATATTGATTTAATGTTTTTTTTTTTCTGTTTCTCTTTTTCTTTGTTGTTGCTTTTATTTGCTTCCTTACTTTGTTTTTTGTTTTCTTTCATGAAGGGGATACAACAGGGATGAGGAGACCAGGAGATGAGCAGAATTGAGGTGCAAAGATTCAGTAAAGAAGTTAAGGAAGGAAGAAACTCTCAGATACGAAGACAGTTAGCTGATTTGGGAAACAGCCTGTGCGTCAGTATGTTACTTGTACTTACCTACACATCTGCATGATGCGATATCATACTGAGTCTTGACAGGCGTATCCAATAAGTTTCTTATGGGAAGTTTTAGGAGTTTGGAAGGTGAGTCTAAAAAATTGTTGAGAGCAGAGCCAGCTGTCCTTTTGGTTGGTGTCTTTTCCGCAGCTGGGGTGTGGCTCTCAGGGTCTACAGTGTGGACATTGGTAGATAAAACTGTGATGGCCCCCGATGTCTCCACTCTCACTGGTTCGTGTGAGAGAGTCAGGGACTTATGGTTAAAGAATGAGTTGAGCTGAAACTGCTTCAGATGCTGCTCCAAGGTCTCAATGATGCTCTTCGGCTGCCCGTCATCACAGCTCAGTGGGGAAATCTCTTGCTTTATCCTTTTGGACAGTTTTTCTTGGGGTGCCGACATGGGGCGTTTACAGGATGAGGGTTTGGACCCAGGCTCAGTCTTGATTGGCCTGTGCATCTGATTGTGACAAGGGTCAACCTGGAACTGCTGTGTTTGCTGCTGTCCTTGCTTCTGTAAGAGCAGCCACCTTAGGGCAGCATGTTTCTGAGTGTCCCTCGGAGGAGGGGTCTGCATCTGATTTCCTCCCGGCTTGGGCACAGGGAGTGCCTTTGCTTGATCGGGCACCAAGTACCTCTGCTGAGCTACTTCAGCTAGTTTTGCTGCCTGCTGCTGCCCAGGCAACACATCCTGGCTTCTGCCTTTAAATCCCTGCAGGGTGGGAGCTTCTTGAGGCTTCTGTTCTTGGACTGGAAAGCACCTGTGATGAATATCCTGATTTGGGGTCACATCATTTGGAAAATATTGCATGTTCTGCAGGCTTGGGGTCTTATTTCCTGCAAGTAGTTCAGGATATAGAGTTTGTTCTCGAGTCTCAGGAACCGGGTGTGTATCATTTGAACAGGGAATCTGTGATTTGCTGGGATTCGATTTGAAGATCTTCATATAAGGGTAATTGTTACTACTCACATTCTGTACTTGCTCCAGCGGCCCTTGGCTATTGTGAGTTTGGAAATTACTTGATTTTGAAAACTGGTTTTCACCACTATAGCATTCTCCCACTTTAATCCGGCCAGAGCATGGTCCTTCTCTTTGCTTCTCATTGCTACCTTGGAGATGAGAAAAGATCTGGGGCATTTCTTCTTTATTCTTCCTCTGTAATTGTTGCTGCTGGCAGTTTTGAGGGAAATTTGAGTTCTGGGATGCTTGTGTTTGGGCTGTGTGCATAGGAGGTTTATGCTGTAAAAAGGTTGAAAATGGTTCGGTCTCTGCGGCCTGCTGATTCAAGTGCTTCTTAGTGGAGGGATCCACTCTTTGCTGGAAATGAAACGGAGGCGCACTCGGTGCTTGCCCGTGAGCACCAGGAGAGGGGTCTGCCTTGGAGATGCACCCCTGGTATGAAGTTTGCTGGAACGGTAGCTGTTGGTCCCTCATACCTGGAGAGTGTCCTTGATTCAGCTCCACTTGGTACGCTTGTGACTTCTGCTCAGGCGGAACTGTTTTCTGGATGTAAGGTAGCCTTTGGAATCCTCCCAGCACATTTACATTTCCCGTGCACCATTTGGAGGGCATCTGACCGGAAGGGCTGGCCTGATAGCGAAGGACTGAGTGAAACATCGCATCCTTACATTGCGGCTGATGGTGTGCTTCACGAAGCCGAGAGGTCTTCAGTTCAATCCATCCCGGTTTCAGGTAGTGCTGGGCCGCCAGCAGCGGATCTTGTGCTGGTTCCCCATTTTCATCCTTCAGAATGTCTTGTTCCCTGTGTCCCATCAGATGCAGGCTGCGCTCTTGTAAGTCTCCACTGCGGCCATGATTCGGGGGATAATACTTGAGATATTCTGACATTGTTCTTGTTTGTTCAGAGCATACTGAGCCACGATTACTCTGATGTCCTTCTGGAAGCACCGACAAGGGGTTGGATGTGTGAACAGATAGATTTGGACTCTGGCAAGATGGTGCCACCTTTGGTTGATGTTCCATTTTCCCTTCCCGTAAGAGAGTTGTGTTGCTTAAGTGACGGTGCTCTTCCAAGGCCTCATCATTCAGAGAACCTTTTCCCTCCGAAGGAAGCGGAAGAACGGGACGGGGACAAAGAAGCAACTGTGGTGTTGGAGTTACGGCAGTGGCAGAAATGGACTCTTTAGTGAACACTGAGCCTTGCCTGAAGTAAGCACCATTGATTTCCTTTCGCTGTAAATACTGTTCGGAGCTGCCACAAGAAGCTTGCAAATCACTGTTGGAACTGGAACCGAACTCTTCAGCAAACGGCTTCATGTTTCCCTGGATGTTTCTGTTTTCTGCAGGAGATGGGCACGTCTCCAAAACTGAATTTTGTTGGTGTTCTGGTTTTGGGAAGGGACAGGTACCTAGCACTCCAGCTGGTTTGCTGGCATTATCAGCATCACAGACCTCAGTCACCGGGGCAGCTGGCTCCGGAGGCAGCTGGGAGCCTGAGGTCTGTGGGGAATTGATCTGCTCTGAGGTATGCGATGGTTGAGTGATCTCACAAGACAACTCATTAGTAGCCCGACTGTTGAGGGCATTCACATGAGATGTGTTATTCTGCACTGCAGTGGAAACACTATCTGGACAACACTGAGATGGTGTTCTTTCCAGGACTTCACCACGTGTGTTTTCCACAGAAGGGGCAGAAACTGTAGCACCATTAGGCATTAGCACAGCCTTGTTTTTAAGTAGTAAAACGTTCCTGCCATTTTCCCCTTCCTGCTCCTCAAGAACCGGAAACTCTGTGTGTTCAACTCCATTGCAGTTACGAGTCGGGAAATCTTCGATGGCTGTCCCTGCACCTCCCTGGGTAACAGAGGGCACAGCATCTCTGTTCTCTCTCACACTGGAGACATTTGGCTGACGGCTGCTTCCACCTGGGTTTCTTTCTTGGCTTGCCCTGAAGTTATTACCTTCTCCCTTAGCTTTTTGGTCTAGTTTCAGTTTCTTGTTTAGATGGAGCCCAGAGAGAGATGGTTCACTAACAGTGCGTTTTATCCCTCCGTTTTGCAAGCACCCGGAATACCCTCTGCCTTCGTGTAAGAAGTCTGGACTCTCGCGACTGCTCTGGCTGCCTTTCACATGGGGTATTCCATAATAGCGTTCGAAGGTCTGCCACTTAGTGCCTCCATTCACTCCTTCTGGATGAAGTCTCTCTGCTAACAGGCTTCCATTCTGGAGCTGTGGTTCTGTCTGGCGAATGGGAGAAGGTGATGGTATCAGGAATGGACTCAGACTGTTGCCCTCAGGATGGGTGGGTCTGTCCTGTTCCATCAGGCTTGCTTCGGGGCCATCCACAAGGCTGTCCTTTGAATGAGTCCTAAAGAATACAGACACAAAAATTGAAAAGGCATTACAACACCATCAGTACCTAGGTATAACAATTAGATACTCATTTTCATCTTTTAGCCAACAGCTTCCTCTTGTCTTCCTAGCATGCAGAAGAGGAACAATGGAATCCCAGCTGCTTTGAGAAGTTCACACTTCACCAGCCAGTAGTATCAGAGGAAAAAACCCTACATCCCCTCTCCCAGCTCTTACTGTCATTTCTGGTTCCTGAGTGTTCCTTGGATCGTCTGCATTAAAATTCACTGTGTTCTATTTTGTCTCATAATACCTGTAACAGCTCCTCAAAAAATAAATCCTCCCTCAAGTTCTTCCAGGCTGCCTCAAAGATCAAAAAGAACATTCTAATGATCTAATAAAATCTAATCCTGGTATCTTTCAGCCTTATCATACCTGATTAATTCTGCCTGGCCTGTATCAGTGCTTTTCAAACTCTTTCATGGGACAGGAATATCATATTTCATTTCAGTGATGCCAATATGCAATGGATGATATGGTGAATGGCATGGCTCTAAAATACCCATTTGGCTAGGGACTTAAGTCAGTGCAAGGTGATATGTGCAGCTTGCAAGAAACTGTCCGCAGGTTCAATACACAACCACTTCCAAACATGCACCACCTCCAAGCATGTCACTTCTAGGTGATATTGCAACAACAGGTAGACCCCCACTTTAATAAAGATTTCCTGTCTAGGGTGGATGAGATGACTGAGCAGGTTAAGTAAGGGCACTTACTTGTCACCAAGCTGACGGCTGCAGTTTAATTCCCAGCGCCCAAGTGAGAGGAGTGAAGTCCTACGAATTGTCCCCTGCCTGACCTCTTACAACTATCATGGCACATGCATACATATATAATACATAGAATACATATAGTCATACATAAATAAATGCAATTTAAAATTTTTTAAGCCTGATAATTGGTTTCATATGCAAATATCTATCCTTTCTGCCCCAGCAGTGACAACCTATAAAAACCATCAGTAAGTGCCTTCAGCTCAAAGTGCTTTTGCTGGTGTGTAACAGGAGCCCTCTACATCTATGTCAGCATCACCTTCTGCTAATTCAGTTTCTTCTACATCTTGAACTTCAACTGTAGGTGGCCTGCCTCTATTATGTACTGCTTAAACATAAATCTAATTCATTTTGGTGCTTAATCTGATTCATTTTGGTCCTCATCCACTAAATTTCACTAGGATGATTCAAATTCTAACTTATTACCACTATTATCGATTCAAACATTTTTCAGATTTGTTAAAAAAAAAAAAAAAAAATTCAAAGCCCTAAGATGAAAAGGCTGGAGGTGGCGGAGGGGGTGGGCATTTAAAAACTCATCTTAAGGGCTAGAAGAAATGGCTCAGTAGTTAAGACCTGTGTTTGGTTCTGAACACCAATGTTGTGGCTAATCTGGTCTTCTACTCTGAACACATGTAACTGCAAAACATGCACACACACATGCACATGCGTGCGCGCGCACACGCGCACACACACACACACACAAAGTAAATCGTTTTTAAAACTGTAAACACTTCCAGATTCATTTAGTCATCCTCTTCATCTTTCTCATTTAAGACTAATAGTGGAGGTGGGCACTATTTTCTGTCTGGATGTAAACAGTGCTGTATTAGATTAGTACTTAGTTTTTAGACAAGACAGAGGAAGAAATGAGATAGAAATGCTGAGAAACAACATTAAAGTTATTAACTTTAGCAGGACACTGTTGCTCGAACTTTTAATCCCCTATGGGAAGGGGATGTGTCTACAGGAGTTCTAGGACAGCCAGGTGAGACTCAGTCTCAAGAAGATAGTGATGCTGTACACTGATCAACGAAGAGACCAGCTGAAACGCTGTCATCATTTCTAAAGATTTAGTAAAGTGGCCCCCAAAATGCAATTATATCCTCAAAACATAAAAGCAATCCCAAGCTTTCTGGAGATAAAACATTGTAGTTGTAACAGAAGAAGTAAACTCAAAAGCTCTATGTCTATATAACAAGATTGCAATAGGGAAGGAAGAGACAAGAAAATATAACACCCAGCTAGATGTTCTGAAAAGGATGGAGCCAGCCTGGTGGGCAGCAGTGTCGTTCTAGGATGTCCCAAGTTTCTCTCCAGTGTTTCTATAGTGCCTTACTCATTTCAACAGTTACATGGCTGGACTCCATGGTTATCCCAACAATTTACATATGGTCTCTAACCTTTTGCTGCAAAATACACAGACGGAATAATAACAGCAATGGGAAGAGGATTGCTTTTAATTGTCTTTTCATACTTTTAAATGTGCATTACTTAATAAAAATTTAAATTGATAAGATACTTCTCACTGCACAAAAAAAAAGTGATGTCTTTTTCTACATTTCAAATAACAGGCGAGATTGACATCGCCCAACGTAGACATGAATATATGGTTACATTCAACTACTGCACCCTTGCAGTAGTTGCTACTTTAAGTTGAAACGTGCTACAAGAAAAGAACCACTGGATTGCAGGCCTATCTGAAAAAATAATGTAAATCTCTCACTTTTAAAAAAATATCCATGATGGGCTAAGGACGTAGTTCATCTGGTAGAGTGCTTGTCTGGCATGTACAAAGTCCTGGCTGACCTCAGTCCCCAGCACCACATTAACCCAGGCAGATGGCACATGCATACTAATACTCCAAAGGAAGACGCTGTCAGAATAATTGAGGACAAGGTTGTTTTCAGCTACATTGTGAATTTAAAACCAAAACGTCTCAAAAAATTAAAATAGTAAACTATGTTGGATGACAGGAAAAAAAACATTTATTTTTCACTTTTGGGGAAATTTAAAATTCCATATCATGTATTGCATCTGATTTCTTTTGAGTTGCTCTTGGTTTTATTAATAAAGGAGAGAGAGAGAGGAAAAGAAGGAGAGAGAAGAGGAAGGAAAAGATGCATCTTGGTAACTTTACAACCAAGCCATATATATATATATATATATATATATATATATATATATATATATATATATACCAAATGATATTTATGTACATTTCTGATGTTAAAAAAAATTTTTTTTCAGGCTCTGTATACAGTGCTGTCCTACCGAATTTTTACCTATGAATTGTAGTATTTTAAGCAAGCAATACATTATGATCCACTCCACGTAATTTTTGGACAATCTTGAAAGTGTCAAGGTAAAAATTATAATGGATGAAGCTCAAACACACTTTTAAACATAATAATAGCTCTTAAGAGATGACGTAACAAAATGCAATTTATATTAATATGGATGTTTAAACACAATAGCAATTTTAAGTACCAATTTAAACAGAAGTATTCTGTGGCAAGAATTCATTTTCTGGGTAAAGCCAATAATTCAGGGAAAGTTAATAGTTCAGGGAATTTAAACACTGTCTCTAGAAACCACACTCCCATGTCAGAGAGTAAAAAAGGAAATGTTGCCTTTGGCTTTAGTATGTATGTCCTAAACCAAACTTGTATGAATACTCATAATATTATAGAGCTCTGGACCCATTTGTACAGTACTTTTGATATGTATGCTTGGCATTATTTGTATTAGAGAGAGAGAATAAAGATGTTTCCATGCCATAGTTGTCAGGTTCAGGGAGGGTTTTTCTTTTTGTTTTTTAAGCTGACAAAGTCATGGTTGAAACAGAAAGAATCTTTGGGTTGTATTTGAGATAGTTATCTAATAATCAGTTAAGATATAAGGTTATTTTTTTTTCAAATTTAAATGGCTGCAAAACATTTTCAAAAACTATAAATTTTTGCTGGAGTTATTTGTGCATGATTTTCCTCAGTCCACTTCCTATTGCTAATAGCACAGGGCTGGGCAGGTTGGAGGCTTATTTTGGCTCTTCATTCTCAAGTGGAACAACCTTCCTGCTGTTCTTGTTTGAAGGCAGAGCAGGGCAGGATGGCAAAGTCAGAACTGTGTGTGTGTGTGTGTGGGGGGGTGTGCTGGTCTCTGCCTCTTCATTATGAAGCCCCTTATTCCAAAAGACCTGGGCTGAACCCTAAAACTCACATAGTAGAAGGAGAGAAAAGAAACCTCTGCAAGCTGTTATTATGGGTTGATGACATGGGACTCACATCATGGGGAACCCACCCCATGATCCCAGTTTTAATCACCTCTGAATATCCTACCTCTAAATGCCAAGTTTTGCCCTCTCAGTTACCCAGTGAGGATTCAATTTCAACCATATTTTACAGGAAAATTCATAGCATTTCCTTTCTCCATTGAAATGGACTTTTGTTTTTATCTGTTCTAATAAGTGAATGATCAGAAATAGAATTTTTTTAATTTATGAGATTAGACACTTTTAAAGTAATGTAATTACTTGAGATTCATAGATGGTAATCTGTGCTATAATTGTTTGCCGCATGAAGAAATTTTTCATCCAGACTGAGAATCAATGCCATCTTCATCATCATCCCTAAAAATTTGAGACAGGGTCTCACTCTGAAGCCCATGCGGGAAATCACATCCAGCTTGAGCAGCAATTGTGTAAGAGGGATTAGCCAATGTCACTCATGAGGACATTGACCAATCAAAATTAGGGTGCTATAGTTTAAAAGCAGTTATTTTGTTTATATAAGAGCATAGGCCAAATGTCCTTCAGGAAACCTGCAAGCCTGACTGGCTACTGGCTAAGCTTCCCTGGGATGCTTTACAGGACACCTCACTGTAACAGCTACACTTAAAACACACACACACACACACACACACACACACACACACACACACACACACACACCAAACAGACAGACAGACAGACAGACAGAAAAACAAGCCCAAACAACCAGTTTTAAACACTTAAACATTTAAAGGTATTGGCTAATTGCAAGCTATTGAAATCCATCACCAATCTCAGGAATTAATACATAGGACTAATGAAAAATCATCAACTATTATATCATTTGGAAATCAAATAAGTGTAAATACCCTCAGCCAATCATGTACTCAGGACTCAGGCAGCCATTCTGACTCT